TAACGGCACCAGCGCAAGAACACGGCGAGGTTTAATTAGTCCACAGAGAAAGAGAGGAAGAGAAAGAGAAAAAGAAAGAGAGAGAGGAGAGAAGGGAAGGGAGAACGGGTAGGAGAGAGGAATAGGAGGAGACGCAGAGAGGAGTAAGGAGACAGGGTTGAAGTAGGAAAGAAGGAGAGAGAGGGTAGGAAGGAGTGGGTAAGAGAAAGAAAGAAAGAAAGAAAGAGAGAGGAGGAGGAAGGAGAGAGTGTGTAGGCGAGGGAAATAGAGAAGTAAAATGAGAAAGATTAGGGGAGAGAGAGGGAGATAGAGGGAAGGAGAGAAAGAGGCAGATGGAGAGTGAAAGAAAAAAGAGGGAGAGGGAAAAAGGAAGAAAGCGAGAGGGTAGGAGAGAGAGTGAGAGAAAGGAAGGGATGAGGGAGGAGAGAAAGAGGGAAAAGGTAGAGTAAGAGAGAGTAGTAAGAGGAGCTGAGAGAGTGATAGAGCAAGAGAATGAGAGGAGAAAGAGTGTAAGAGAGGGAGGGAGGGAGAGAAAGAGAGGGACAGAGAGGGAGGAAGAAAGAGTGAAGGAGGGAGAGAGAGAGGGAGGAGAGGGAGAGAAAGAGGGGGAGAGAGAGAGGGAGGGAGAAATAGGAAGGAAAAGAGGGAGAGAGAGGGGAGAAAAGGAAGAGTCAGAGATTAGTAAGGGGAGCTGAGAGAGTGATAGAGAGAGAGAGGAGAAAGAGCGAGAGAGTGGGAGTGAGGGAGAAAGAAGGAGGGAGAGAAAGAGAAAGATAGGGAAGGGGAGGGAGAAAGAGGTAGAGAGACAAACAGAGAGGGTTAAGAAAGAGTGAGAGACAGGGAAGGAGAAAGAGGGAGGGAGAGAAAGAGAGAGGGAGAGAGTGGAAGACGGAGAGAAAGAGATGGAGAGAGGGAGGAAGAATGAGTGAAGGAGGGAGAGAGAGAGAAGTAGGGGGAGAGAGAGAGAGGGGGAGAAAGAGGAAGGAAGAGAGGGGTGAAAAGGAAGAGTCAGAGATTAGTAAGGGGAGTTGAGAGAGTGATAGAGAGAGAGAGGAGAACGAGAGCGAGAGAGAGGGAGTGAGGGAGAAAAAGGGAGGGAGAGAAAGAAAGAGATAGGGAGAGGAAGGGAGAAAGAGGTAGAGAGACAGAGAGGGTTAAGAAAGAGTGAGAGAGAGAGAGAGAGAGAGAGAGAGAGAGAGAGAGAGAGAGGAGAGAGAGAGGGGGAGAGAGAGGGAGGGAGAGGAAGAGGGAGGGAGAGAGATAGGGGAGAAAAGGAAGAGTCAGAGACAGTAGTAAGGGGGAAGTGAGAGAGGGAGAGAGAGGAGAAAGAGAGCGAGAAAGAGGGAGGGAGAGAAAGAGAGAGATAGGAAGAGGCAGGAAGAAAGAGAGGGAGAGGGAGCAAAAGAGAAGGAGAAAGAGGGGGAGAAAAGGAAGAGTCAGAGAGTAGTAAGGGGAGCTGAGAGTGATAGAGAGGAGAAAGAGAGCGAGAGAGGGGGAGTGAGGGAGAAAGAGCAGGAGAGAAAGAGGGTAGGATAAAGGAAGAGATAGACAGAGAGAGTAGTGAGGGGAGCCGAGAGAGCGAGAGAAAGAGAAAGCGAGCGGGCGAGTAGATGAATGAGTGTGTTCCCCTGGCGCAGACGCTGGGGCGGCCGCACAAACACTGCTCCATTACCGTTATTAGGTCACATTTGGATGCTGATGTTATTTTTAGCGCAGGACGCTCGATTACGGCGTCGATTACAAGTGGCATCGGGGGGACGTGTGTGTGTATTATTTCTTCCTCTTTCAGACGCCCTACAAACAATCACCATCACAATCAGAGGCACGAGGCAGGAGCAGATGGTAAAGGAGACTCAGACCTCACGAGCTCCGATCGGCTCCACGCTCCATTCACAAACTCAAGCTGCCTGGGCTTCGAGTGGAACAAAACACTAAATCAATCTTGTTTTCACTGCTAAACCGTGTGTGGTGTCGTCTACTGTTCCCGGGCATTTTTTTTCTTGGCAGCTTTAGCGCGAGCCGGGCCTATCTGCAGCTCTCCGCTCAAAAACGTATACAAATGAGTGTGTCCTCGCTCCATCGGTCACTGCTATTTTCAGTGCTTAATGACATCACGCAAGACAGACACGTGTTTCTGATACAAACACTGAGTGCAGGGGCGGAGTTTCACGTGTGGATACCTGTCAGTCCAATCACACACCTCACAGCGCTCCCCACACTCTCTGAGCTACAGGATCCTGGGGTTTTAATCATTATTATACAGGGTGTCCAAAAAAATTTAACATCATCATCGCAGGCCAATCATTTTGACAATTCTTGTTGAAATAGGCGAGTTTCAGCTGACATCATTGTTATTAAAAGCCCGCGTTGCTGCTGGGAAATATTTTGGTCGGAGGCAAGAAACACGGTAGCGTCAAACACAGTGCGTAACCTCGCGTATTTCTCCCCGATAATGGTAAATTCCTGCTGCATTATCAGATGCACAAATAGAAGCACGGAAGAAGGAAAATGTCTTTTTCGTATTCTGAGTGAAAAGAACCACTAACGGTGAATTAAATGTCTTTCAAACATCCGCAGAGCAAATGTAGAAGATCCTAACAAACCGTGGACTCCAACAAGTTCAACAACACATCGAGACTCTTGGAGGTTTGCATCTTTTCTGCTGTGAATGGCCCAGGAGTTTCCACCAAGTCATTGTGGATATCGCCCAAGTGAATATTTGTCCAGGTAGTTGGCGATTCTGACCAGAAATTCGGTTTGGTCCAAGGTTTTGTCGGGGTTGAAAAGGGTGATTTGGCTCCATCGATGCTTATGACCAATTTCTGGTCAAATGGTCTTGGGTCCTCTGCCGTTAGAGTGGATAAATAACCGGGATCAATACCCTTTACGTGCTTTCTTGCTCCGTCCGTCATGTTGAATTAGTGTTTCTTGCCGCCGACCAAAATTCCCAGCATGCAACGCGCGCTTTTGTCAACAATGAAACTTGCCTATAACCTCAGTTTTTCACAGAATGTACAGATGTATATATTTAATATGGATTGACATGATGAGTCGATTAATAAATAATTGATCATTAAGAATTTTGTCGATAATGTTCATTTTTAATCAACAAACCGCATGTAGGTTGCTGTGCGTAGCGGTTATAGGGTGACCAAATGTCCGTTTTTCACGTCCTGTCCTGTCTGTCCGTTTTTTGTTTTTTTTTATAAAGTGATGCAGGTTTTCATGATCTTTCATTTGGCCATTAAACTGAGCGGCTCTCGTAGCTCTCTGCACTCAGAAGGAGCGAGCAGACACACACAGTCGGTCAGTCTGCAACATGCCGAAGCACAAATGTGCATTTAACGATGACTTGCACAACAAATTCCGTGCTTTTCGTTCCGGTCGAGACAAGTGTGAGGCCATGTGCACAGTGTACAAAGCAGCACATATGTTTCGGTGTCCAGTGGGGATGCAAGGGACCTTAAACCTCACCAGGACACCGAAAAACATGAAAAAGTTTTGCCAGGTGAGTGTAGCTCAATATCGATGACGAGGCCCCACCTCCCACCCCCTGTACGGTGACCTGGTTACGGACACACAGGTGCAAGATACAAACTCAGGAAATAGCAAAAATAATTATTACTCACCTCTCGTAAAATTGTAAAGGTAAACTGTAGTATTTTCATTCATATTATCCAAAGAAATTTCCCTCTGCAAATAATGACACCCAATTCCCAAAACAACACTATTAATCCAGTTTGAGGCGTTCTTTAAAAGTAAAAAGGTGAGAGTAGTTCCTCACATGTCTATTTACATCTCGAGGTGAAGCTGCAGATTAGAAGCACAGACTCTACTTCCTGTCGACGTCATCTTCAGCCTTCTGTGCATTAAAAATCATGTATCTGAAGATTTGCACCACCTTTCACAAATAATAACTGTTTTGATTTGTATATAAACTAGAAGTGCAGAGTTCTGATCTTTGAATGGTTAAGCCTCAGAGAGCGAGAGGTTTTACTGAAGACATAAACAGAGGACGCGACCGTGCTCGTATCTATATATCCTGTAGTGCTCAGACATATCCCTCTGCACGTTTTGTGATCGGAGATTTAAAATCTCATCTTGTGTCTGTGGTGTGCGCTTTTTGTCGCACAATTGAACATTTTTTAAAACTAAAAAATCCTGAAGTGTGTAGTGGCCTTTATTCCACTTTTTTCTACATGCTCCGGTTTAATCAAAAGGCTACAGCAGTGACTTTTATCTATTATGATTGTGCGGCGTAGAGTTTAGCTTGAAGCATTCTGCACATTCAAAGTGCTCACTCTGCCTTTACAAAGAGCTGCAATAATCCAATCGATGTTCCTCTATGTGACATGTCCAGTGTGATACAGCATGTTCAATATGATGTGACATGTTCACAAGTATAATCTGTTGCATTGTAAGATCTCTTCACCCCTATTTCACGCCTCATCTGCCTTGTCCAATAAAAAACTACAAGTCAAACATGTATTTCAAAAAGACGACTTTTGTGACATTGAACTCTCATCTTGTCACAGTAAAGCTATAGCCAGATAGTGGAAAGTTATCTCCTACAGAGTTTGTTTAGTTCAGTTTGTTCAGGTCAGGAGGTGTGGAGAAACACAGATGTGGCTCTGTCTTCTTGACGGCATTAGAGGATTGTGTATTATAGAGTTGTCAAAAGTATTGAAAATCAGATACTAATCTACAGTAAAGCTAGTATCAAAACTAGATACTCATATGAGCAGGTATCAATACGAAAAAAGGAATAATCTTGAGCTGAATCAGAAGTAGAAGAGCACACAGACTAGTAAACGCCCACGGACCACTGTCAAACCTACCTGGACCACTGAGGGTTTACACTGATATAAAACCAGAAAGTACTATGATTTAATGTTGAAAATGTGAATATTACAATTCTGATTTGCTTATTGTCACAAGTCAAACCGCCATTTTGATTTGACTGTGGTGAATCTCGACGCAGTGAGCTGAGTGGAGCGTACCTTCTTGAAGAGCAGAGAGTCGTCCATGTGTTCCGCGTACACAGAGGTGAGCCTGTACTGGTTGGCTGTGGTGATGTCGATCTGGTACCCGGTCAGAACGTAGCACACCGTCCGGAACTCCTGGATCTTCTTCTGGAACACCTCCTTCAGACGCTGGTTCTTCAGCTCTGAGCTCTCCATCTGTTTACGCAGCTCTGAGAACACAGACCCGAAAGAGGAACAAGACAGGTCAGATATAACTGACATGTTTTTGTTACTTTAAAAATATATATATTTGAGGAATACTAAAGGAGGTATTTTACTTCTATGGATTTATTATTATGTGTTATTTACTGTTAAAGAGAGAAATTCCTTCTCACTTTGAATGGGCTTGTCCTTCCACAGATCTGATATGTAATTTGGCCTGGTGTGAATGGTTTGCCATCATGGTTGTCATCTGGACATTGTTTTTTGCAATCAAAATGTTTCAGCTCCATCCAGACGCCATTGTACATTTGATGGAACTGTCTGGAAGCACTACGTTTCATCTTAACCTCAGTTTACAAACTCCCGTACCAAAGAATGGGAGCCAAAACATCTTTATTGCAAAAACAGTCCAATAAAAGCCCAAATGACCACTGCTGAAACCATCTTTACCTTGAACCACTCCTGGATGAATGAGGGATTACACGTCCGCTTAGTGGAGACAGATTAATACAGGGTGTCCCAAAAAAATTGACATCATTTCGCAGGCCAATCATTTTGGAAATTCCTGTTGAAATAACCTCAAATTTTCACAGAATATACAGAAACATATCAAGATTTTATATTCAATATTGCATTTTTGTTCTGTTTTCAGCTTGAGCCTCCTGGGTTGAACTCCCAAAGAGAAATCATTTGGAATCTGCTGCACACACTCACCCAGGACTGTGCAGCCGTCAATGCAAAATTTGGAAAAAATTCACCAACCGGCAAACAAATCTGGACTTGGTGTCAACAATTTAAAGAAGAAGACCTCTAGTAGACCATCATCAACATCAGAAAAGAATGTCAAGCAAGTTTGTAAAAAAAAAAAAAACTCTTGTGAAGCCCCAAGAAGTACATGAAGTACATGTCACATCACACTGAACATGCTGTATCACACTGGACATGTCACATAGAGGAACATCGACTGGAATATTGCAGCTCTTTGTAAGGGCAGGGTGAGCACTTTGAATGTGCACAGAGCTTCAAGCTAAACTCTACACCACACAATCATCACAGACAGAAGTAGGTAGACAGATAGGCAGACCATCAGCAACATCAGAAAACTCTTGTAAAGCCCAAGGAAGTCCGTAAGAAGAACAAGTTTGGAAACCCAGATTCCTCGAATGATGGTTTGGTGTAGCAGATCCTTTAGCCCTGCAGAAGCAGCCGAACTCTTTACATTTTTGGTACCAAGTCTAAATTTATTTGCCAGTTGGTGAAGTTTTTTCAAATGTTGCATTGAGTCTGTGCAGCAGATTCCAAGACACAAAATGACTTCTCATGACTCAACCTGAAAACAGAACAAAAATAAAAAATTAAATGTAAAATCCTGTTATGTCAACAAGAATTGCCAAAATGATTGGCCTGCGAAATTATGTTAAATTTGTTGGGATACTCTGTAGATTAAGATACGAGTGACACAGCGCACATTTGTGTCAACATACACACATTATACAAGCAACTGCAGGTTTTGAATATACCTGATGCGTAACGTTCCCTGTTCCCCTCACCTGTCAACTAAAATCTGTCTAACTCCTGCAGTTTTCCTCTCAGCAAAACAGACCCAGCTGTTTGGATCGTCTCTCTCCCACCTTCAACCCACCTGCACCACGGGCAGTGACCTCCCCCGGCAGCCCCAGCCTCAGACAGCCCCCACAGCCCCCACAGCCCCCACACACAGCCCCCACACAGCCCCCACACAGCCCCCACAACTCCACAAGGCCTCACACAGCCTCATACAGCCTCACACAGCTCCATATCTAGCTCTGGCTCGCTTCGACTCCCATGACAGCTTAATATCAGATATACTCCCCCGCAGGCACAGCTCCTGCCCCCACAGGTCAACAAACACCACAGCCATGCAGAGAAGTCCGTCCTCGGAGTACAAACCGAGACTTCACTGTGAGGAATACACGCAACGCTGAATGTTGTAGAAAGGTTGGAAAATTGAAACGACATCAGTTATATTCAATAAGAAGGCACATAAAACTATATCTGTAACACATCAGTAACTTCAAACAGGATACTGCGTTTACATTGCCAGGCACATCCTCTCCCTCCGTTGCTCTTCGATCCAGGCTCATACAAATGGCTTCACAGGGGCTCATTGGTCACTCATCATTTTGAACAAAAAGTCTCTCTTCAGATTTAGTGCAAGGCTCATTCAAAATGCAGAAATACACAATGTTTTTCAGTTCAATCCGTGTATCATTCGTTCATTCATTTTTCAATATAAAACCAAAAATAAGAAAACGAAAAAACAACAATTTTCTTA